TGGATGGACGTTTGTGGAAATGAAAGAATGTGATTTTGATACAATAAAGATATTTCAAATATAATTGCATAAATCATATATTTTTCTCCCAAAAATAATATGTCAACGAGAAATAAACACCTGAAAGAACCACATAGACAAAAGCTTTGGTGGTTGCAGCTGTATGCTTCTGTAGGAAGTTATGCAAGAGGAACTGTTACACAGAAACACATTTAAACAAACTCTAAATTCATCAGCTAGTCAGGTGGTGAGGAAAAACCAGAAGAAAAAATAAAGCTGTGTCACTTCAAATAAAATAATTAATTAAAAAAAAAAAGTTTATTTGCCCTTTGCGAGACAGATAATGACTTAACACTCTCAGGCTCAAAATAAGTTCTGATAAAAAGACGAACAACTACGTCCTTCAGGGGTACTTCTGAGTTAAAAAAATGCTCATGAAATACGTATGTGGAGTAACCAGGTGGGTAGGTTTTAACTGTTGCAATCTGCAACGCCTGCCTCCAGAGGGATAAATGTCTAAATTTAGCATTGTGAAAGCACTTCCTCTCAGAGGTGGAAAGTAACGAATTACATTTACTCACGTTACTGTAATTGAGTAGCTTTTTGTATATTTATACTTTTTAAGTTGTTTTAAAAATCTGTACTTTTACTTGAGTAAGTTTTTAAAAAAGAATTGTAATTCTCTACATTTTAAATCATATCCGTTACTGAGTAAAATAAATTGTAGGCTTAATAAATTAAAAATACAATCCTAGAAAAACCTCGTCCAATCAATGTGCATGTCCTGTTCTCACTGATTGGATAGAAATCCTTCCATCAATCTGTGTGTGTGTGTGTGTGTGTGTGTGTGTGTGTGTGTGTGTGTGTGTGTGTGTGTGTGTGTGTGTGTGTGCGTGCACACACGAGCGTATTGTGAACTGGTGTTGTGGTTTTGCACTGATGTAGCCATCTTTACGCTGACAAAAATGTAACTGAGTAACTTTTACTTTGAGTACATTTTATTTACGATACTTTTTACTTTTACTTGAGTAAAAATTTAGGCAAATACTTTTACTTGTACTTGAGTAAAAAATGATCAAAGTACTGGTACTCGTACTTAAGTAGGAAATTTTAGTACTCTTTCCACCGCTGCTTCCTCTTACTCACAGGGGTCTGAACTTTATGCAGCAAGGGTGACACAACAGTGATTATCACTGGTTAATTTCATAAACTGTCGGCTGAACCACTCATGGGTAGGGCCATGTTCTAATAGCGCTAAAACAAAGAACGGAGGAAGTTCCACCTGAGAGTTGTCCACAAGAGAAATCAACACGATAATCATCAAAGTAATCATTTGTTTTGATATTGACAGTCGCTATTATTTTTGAAAAAGCGGACGTGAGTAAAGCTTACACCTTAATATGTTTTCCTGTGGCTGCCGGCAAATTTGATTACAGACTGGCGGTGATGTAGAATCAATCCAGACGACAAGATGTAATCAGTGCTTGTTTGCAGTGCTGTTTATTGTTCTCGTGTGTGTGTGTGTGTGTGTGTGTGTGTGTGTGTGTGTGTGTGTGTGTGTGTGTGTGTGTGTGTGTGTGTGTGTGTGTGTGTGTGTGTGTGTGTGTGTGTGTGTGTGTGTGTGTGTGTGTGTGTGTGAGGACTTACAGGGAACGAGGCAAAAGCTTTAGAGGAAGAAAGCCTTCCCAGACACCAGAACAATAAGTCTCTTACTATAAAAGGAACAATGAAGCAGCTAGATTTGTTGTTGCCATTGTAATTATAAAGTTGTAAAGTGCTTTATTCATGCAGGCTGATAATGATGATGATTATGGGATGAAGAAGGAAATATAAAGAACTCTCTGAACCTCTGAATGGCTCCAAATGTACACAGAAAAATGACGAAGGACCAAACGCGTCACAAGTGGCCCTCTCCAAAGGGTTCTCAAGGCGTGACTGTGAGTAGGTGGTAGATTCACAAAAAGGAAGTCAATTGTAGCGTCATGAATGTCCTGTTTATGACCTAAAGGTCATGCTCTGCTGTGTCTGCTCGAGCAGAGACATAAAGTCTCTGACAGGCTAATCTACATGAGATAGTGGCCAAGGTCTTTCATGCACTCTGCTCATCTGAACTGCTTCACCTTTGTTACAGCGAAGACGCAGAACTATTTTTATAAACACATAATCAACAACTTTGTTAATTATCAATAATAATGTGAGCCCAATGTTCAATCAATCTGTGAAATGACAATGTTATTACTTGATATTATAATCCTGTGATCAGTAGTATTTTACAAGTATTATAATCCTGGACATTTGCACTAGACACTAATGACACGTAATGCTAAAGTCACATGACACATTTCCTTTTGTTTGATCCAATCAGAACCTTCGTTTCTGGCTAGGCGTGGTTTTCTGTGGTGTTTGTATAAACCCTCTTTTGCATGTCGAATTCTTATTCGCCAGTAAACCAAAATATGACAATTATAAAAACTATCCCACGCCACCTTTTCTTTAGTTCAAAGTGATCTAGAGAAGTCTCGGACAGGCCATCCAGACTTCCTCTTCAGCCATAAAGAACCTCGACAAGCTGGATAAAATCTGTTGCAAGTTACACCTGACCGCAATGGTTCCTTCAGAATAATAGTTGAACCTCACGACCCCTTCAGGGTCTCGGAGACGCCAGTGATAAAATGTCGTGACCTGGAAGCATTCCAAGACTAGTTTGGTCGGTATTGCTGCTTTTCTACCGGCTTCGGTACCAAAGAGGGTCCACGAGGACCTCTGCATTCTGGATCTGATCGGAGGCTTCCCCTGGGATACGTAGACCGCAGATGGCGTTTCATGTGTGTTATAAATCTCCTACTATAGTTTAGAGCGAAACATTCACTCCCACTCAGAACTAACTGCTTCTCCAGATCCGCTGGTTCTGCATAACATTCCACACACACGCCATCATCATTCATCACGTCTCACTCCACCTTAGTCCATCATAAAACAGAGTGTTAAAGTTAGTCTTGTTTAAATTGTGTAGAAATAAATCTCTTAACTAATTTAAACCTGACTCTCTTTCCATGAAGTTAATATGGTGTTGCTTAATCCCTGCAATAAAAAGTTCTGATCTTCTGGTTAAAATAGTCAAAGATCCATCAGATTGATATTTCATATTTCTATGGAATCTCACCTTTTATGGTTCATAAGTAAGATGTAAACTACCCATCCTTTACACAGTGTAGAAAACTGGATGATAAAACACATGTTTCAGTTTAGAGAAGTGACTATCAAGTGGTCTGACTCACTCTGTTGTTTGTGTTGTCCTCATTAAGTCAGAGAATGACTCACACACACGTTGGGAACGTTTTCTTTATAGAGTTTGCATCAGAACAGATTAATGCAGAACTGCCTGGCGAGGATGAAAAATTGCAGAACGTTAAAGGTGATGTCGTTGTTCTAACGCTGATTCAACAAACTGTTGTCTCATCTCGACTAAATGTGGTATCAGCAAACACTTTGACATTCAGAAATGAAAATCAATCGGAATATATTTTTAGACCGACTCCTGACAAGCCATGGGCTATTTAATTAGGTGAGCCTGTTGGGTTCCCCTAAATTATTTAAAAAGTTCACCCTGAGATTTCCACTCTGTTCAATAAAAATTAAATAGTAATCAGAAATGATTTATTTTTTATTTTTTCTAAAAATGATGGAAACCCACCTAAAACAATGTAGTAGAAAACAACTCAGAATGATCACGCACTGCAGATACTGTGTTTGCAGCTGCGGCTGTTATTATGATGCGAGTGATCGGATTGCTATTCATTACAAAATCCCTTTTGTTTTAAAAAATGTATTTAAACAACAACAAAAAGACAAAATCCACTACATTTAATAAGTCCAGTAAACATCAGGACCACTGGGGCGCCACCAGGTCAGAATTTGCAGCAGGTGTGTGTGTGATTTCATCTGGACAGCGAATGCGGAGAAGACGTTTGGAGGATAACATCCAAAGTGGGTTTGTCCCGTGTGTGTGTGTGGGGTTGCTTCTCAGCCAAGGGAGTCTCTATTAAGTTTAGCAGCACTTGAATGAAGAATGGAACGCAGATGTCTTCCAAATAGAACTCCTCCCTGCCTTCCAAGAGTGATTTTGGTGATGAACAATGCATTTTCCAGCTTGGTGGAGCACTGTGCCATAAGGATAAATTCAAAGCTATGTTACTCAGGGAGTAAAACATCAAACATGTGAGTCCATAACCCAAAAAGGATCTGAATCTGACAAAAGGCATGAGGTTAGTCCTGAAAATGTAGATGGTTAAAACTAAATCCCACAGATACGGACAAACTCCAAGCATCGATTATGGATGGGCTGCCAATCAGTCAGGATCTGGACCAAAAGCTGATTAACATCATGTCTGAATGGAGGATGACATGAAAAAGAATACTGCAATTGCAGATCCTGCTTAAAGTTAATGTAATAGTCAACGAGCACCTTCGATACCAATGAAATGCTACCTCAGTAACCATAGAAACGTTTGTTTATGTTTATTTATTTAGCAGATGCTTTTGTCCAAAGCGACTTACAAGTGATAATCAAATCAGAATAATGAAACGTGATTAAGATCTTAAAACACTGTAAAAAGTAATTCTTGCATCACTCTCAGAAAATCAGAACAAATACGTTTTATATAATAATATGTTCAATAATTAGTTCATCAAATACATTTTTATATATATTTTAAATGGTCCTCATAAAACTCAACTGTTTATGATAATATTCCATTTTAGCCACAAACCAGCTCTGTAGCTCTGACCAAATCTTTAAATAAATTCAATTATAAGGACAACTGTCACTTACATGCTCTCTAACTCAATTAAACTTGCACGGCAGACCTTTCCGGTTGAGGGGCTATTTTTAGACATTTGCAAACCTATTTAGATTCATTGATGATCACAAATCATTTGTAGTAGTCTGCATGTTTGCAACAACAACAACAACAGCTGTAGTAAACCGACATGTTTATTTCCTGGTGGATTACATTTCTGCAGTTTGCTTGACGAGAAATGCCTGGAATGTTTACCCCCTGCTGCAGGTTATGTTCTCTGCAAGCCAACAAAAACAAGCCAGGAGTGAAAGAGTTAATGAAAGTGGAAGTGGAGAGCCATGTCTCCTCCTTCCTGCGCGCGCGCCCTCTCTCTCGCTCTTTCTGTCTGGGCCCATCCTTCTAAAAGTTCCTGATCCTCGAACCGAATCAGGCACCAAGGAAATCCTCATCAAAGATCCTTAAATCTCTGAGGAGTTTGGTTTATAAACGAAGCTCTCGAGTTTAGGAAGAGGAACCCGGAAGTGATGCAGAGGTGAGTGGAGCAGCTCGCGCGTCAAGTATCAATGTGTGTCGATGAATAGTTACATTAAATAACAACAAGGCGCGTTTTCCTTTTATGGTTACGTGGTTTGAACTTATTTTTCTACATTTTACCCTTCTTGTGTGAAATCAGACTGGTGTTACCAAAAAACAAAGAAATAAGGGAAAACAAAGCTGCGTGACGTCTGAGTACGAAGCCTTCAGAAACTGGTTTTCTTTGAAACTATTGAACCAGCTCGCGTCTCACTACATTGCTGAAATTGTCAAACCTTTCAAATCACACATCCTTATGTGTGCTAACATCCCCCTGCACATCTGCTGTAAGCTGGCTTGAGAATGGATATGTTTTATTTATTTCCTGGTGTGATCGATATTCCCAGCTGTTTAAAATGAGCCTGATTCTGTCTCATGCCTTGCATTCCTCAGCGAGGGGGTTATCCTTTAATTTAGGGCTGGGCTAGACAGCCCCCACTTCACCTCCAGCATGCCTAAGCCTGTTGGGAGACCAGATACAGTCACGCTTTATTAGTTTATCCACGGTTGATACCCTGGTGGGAATTTTTTTTGTCATCAGTTGTCCATTTGGAGCTGTTTTTGTTTCCTCCTCAGCAGTGAGTTCGGTTGGATCATTTGAAACACATCAGCGCTGCTGTCAGGATGAGGTTTTCCCAAGATGGGCCCTACTTTCAGTCTGATCAGTTTGGAATAATTCACACCGTCATTACATTTACCTGGATTAGTGTGAAATGATTCTATTGGTCTTAACTAAAGTGTAGAAGGCAGCCTTCTGCTGGGGACGAAAAGCACATGAACACATCACATCCATACTGGTCTCTAAACTGGCTTCCTGTCTGGTGCTCATCTTTAAAATCCTGAATGGATTGAGATCAGTTCATCCAACTTAACAAAGTGTACCAAGAGAGCTGATAAAATGGCAGTGTTATGTCCCAACCCCACTCCTTTATGTGTCTGCGAACCTGAGATGACCAAAAGTTATACTGAGATTTAGAATCTCACAACCAGGTGTGTTCTGTCAGGGACCTCCAGCCCGAGGTGCTTGGAGACGGACTTGTTGGAGATTGAAGGAGAACCATGAACAGTCTATTTGTTCTGCTTAGCTTCTTTAAAAAATATTACATTTAAGGTCAAAGGCTTTTATTTATTTAGTTATTTTTTTTACATTTTGAGACAAGAACACCCCCTCTTCTGTTCTTTTTCTGACTTTGTTCAAGCTACAATGGCAAATGTGGAAAACAAATTAGCTTAAAAAATGGTTTTTAACCCTTTAAGACCAGCGGGAGTGCTGGTGCTCCCATTTGCATATCTGTGTTAAAATGCTTGTAAAACTGAAACTATATAAGATGTATTTTTTTGCATATTAAACCAGAAGAGTTACACTTAAGTCTCACACACTGAACACGTCCCAGAGCGCTGCGTATTTCCGCTAATGAGTTTGCAAAAAACAACCAAAATGCGCAAATAAGAAAAGCGTTTTCATTCAGATACAGACGCTGTGTCGTTCTGATCTGCAGCTCACCGGGCTTCACACGCTAGAATAAACATCGTCACGTTGTCAACATGAAATGTCACCCAATCACCTGCTTTGACGTCATTTTCCCGCGAATCGTAGTTCTTTGTAGTCTCCGTTTTTCGGCCTTTTTCTTGTGCTTTTTCGCAATAATACGTTTAGACAAACACGTCCTACACACATCACACACCCACTACAAACTTCCGACACACACACACTCACCACTACAAACGTTTTGATGACTCACGGACCCGCCAAACGGTACATCTTCCCTCCTCGAAGCAGTTGACGCCATTACAGCCCCGGAGGATGTTTACGTTCCACTTTCAGTTTCCTCAGGTTTATATTCATGCAATATTCTTTATTATTGTTATTATTAGTGAGAGAAAAGGAAAACTATATACTACTGAAAAATTAGCCACAAATATTCAACATTATTATGTTAGACTCCTGCAGATTATTATTATTTATGTTTTCGTTTTTGTTAGTTTATATAAATGGGTGTATCTCAGAAACTATTTCATGGAAACACTTCAATTAAATTTGTTGTTTGAAAGGATTGTGTGAAACTGTTTTCCATTGACAATTTTGAGGGATAAAGGTGTGGCATTTCTGTATAATAATAAAATATGTGTAAAAACAAAATGATTTTCAATTTCTGCATAGATAATAGAATTTTTTAGTAAAATATTTTGTTGCTATGAACATTTTACATTTATATAATTTAAAATTTTGAATGTAAGGGTTGTATTGATGTATAGAATGTTTAAATACTCAAAAAAAATGGCACCACAGCATGTAAAAATGTAAATATAAGTTCTGGCAAACTTGCTCTATGGCAGGTCTTAAAGGATTAACACCTTAACTTTCTAACATCTTATGAATATAAATCTAAAATAGGTTAGTTTTGATATTGTGGACATAAAAATAATAATGTTAATAAAATGCTTCTCTTGCGTTTGCCTAAAACCTCTGTCAAAAACCATGTTTTGGACCGAAGCAACCATCCGGTTATCGTCTTGTCAAACTGTCGCACTTCCATGCATCCTCCACTTATACCACATGTGTCAGACACAAGGCCTGGCCCGCGGAGCATTTTTATGTGACCCGCGAGATAAATGTCAAAAATGTTTTAAAACTGACCCGTTGGCCGATGATTTTACCGCAAAGACTACAACTCCCATGGTGCTTTGCGGCGTTAACGCAGAGCCGAAGCGCCCCCTCCTTTGTGTTTTTTTTCCAGCGTCTGCTGCCGGTGTCTGAAGCTCCGCTGCCTCGGACAAACTAAACACTCCTCTCACTCAGCACCGAGTTTACTCAGCTATTTGCCAACGTTGAAGCCCAGAAACGGAGATTTTAACCGCTCAGTAATGTGTTTCATGACTGAAAGAGAAAGTTTTCCAACTAACTTCCAGACAGAGCTGATATAACTCCAGCGAGCAGCGACACACTCAAATCAGCATGAGTCTGTGGCTGCTGTAGTTTTTATTTTTCCTCCCCGACTAGGGATGGGTACCTTTGTAATTTGAATCGATTCAGTACTAACTCCCGGTACCTAGGAATCGATACCGGTACTTAACGGTACCAATTTTCTATACTTTTGAGTTTTTAATATTTTAATTCTTTATAATTAAATATATATTTTTCTCTATATTTTTTCTCTATATATAACCACGGTGGCACAGGTGATAAGTGCTCGCCCCGTAATCGGAAGGTTGCAGGTTCGAGCCCCGCTCAGTCTGTCGCTGTCGTTGTGTCCTTGGGCAAGACACTTAACCCACGTTGCCTGCTGGTGGTGGTCGGAGGGACCGGTGGCGCCAGTGCTCGGCAGCCTCGCCTCTGTCAGTGCGCCCCAGGGCAGCTGTGGCTACATTGTAGCTCATCCCCACCAGCGTGTGAATGTGTGTGTGAATGGGTGAATGACTGATTGTGTTGTAAAGCGCCTTGGGGGGTTCCATGACTCTAGAAGGCGCTATATCAAATACAGGCCATTTACCATTTACCATATTTGATAAATATCACAATAAATAACATACAACTGTTTGTATTTTAACATCGTCCTTGTAGTTTTATAAGCTGATAAATAAACTGATGCAAACATCTTTACTGTGAAGTAAATTTACTGTGTATCTTCATTCCTTTTGCCGTCCTTTTTCATTTGATTTTTCCTACTGGGAAATTAGAATTTCCGAGGAGAAAGCGAAAGCACCATTAGCTGATAAAAAAGGTGGCAATGGAAGCTAAAATATCAAGCTAACGTTATCTTAAACAGTTTATTTAGCTGCTGGAGCAAATTAAAACAATGATGCCTCACACTTAGATCGTTGTCACTGGTTTCATCTTCACCCAATAACCTGTTGAATTTAGTAAAGTGAAGCCAAACTTTAGAGCAAGTTTATGTTCTTCTAGTCAGAAATTCGGAGTTCCGAGGAGAAAGGGAACACACCATTAGCAAAACGGAGGCTAACATATCAAGCTAACGTTATCTTAAACATTTTATTTACCTACCGGAGCAGATTAAGATGAGGATATCTCACTTAGATCATTGTCGCTGGTTTCATCATCACATCACATTTAGTGAAGTGGACCCAAGCTTTAGCGTGCGTTCTTTCTACCATGCTGCTCTGTTTACAAGTCGCTCGCAGGGACCGACGACATAACGCTCTTGCGCATGCGCAGCTGTCTAGGCAAGTTCTCGTAATGAAGGACGGGTACCGAAACGAGGCACCGTTTCAAATGATGTGAATTGGTGCTCAGTCGGTACTATGGAATTTGGTTGGTACCTTAAAAAGTACCGAATTCGGTACCTAACGCTATCCCCGACACACTACGTGGTCAAGCTGCTCAGACATGTTCAGCAGCACAAACCTATGTGAGCACCTGTTGTCATCTAATGTTGTCATTATTATGATGAAGATGAACAAAACAACAGGAGTCTCCTCCTCAGCAGAGCTCAACCCCATGATGCAGGTATCTGGCTCGAACAGGTGAATTCAAATCAATTCAAGTTTATTTATATAGCGCCAAATCACGACAAGAGTCGTCTCAAGGCATTTCACATAATAAACATTCCAATTCAGTTCAGATTAAGCCAATCAGAGTAAACATGTGACATCACAGTAAATCAGTGGAGCAAACTGAGCTTTAAATATTTTGATTTTCTGCTATTTTTCTGCTCCAAAACATGAAAGTTAACAGGCGAGATATTGCATTTTCATTTAAGATAAAATAATAATTAAATTTTTTTGTTGACCCGTGAGAAAAGATTTAACCTACAGTAAAACAGGAACGACTGCAGATAGATCAGGGGTGTATATATAAATATAAAATATTTTTTGAAAAAGTGACTGCAAATTTGCACATTTTCTTTATCAACATATATGCAATTTCGAACCTTTATATTTGGAAACAAACTTATTTCTGCATTAACACTGAATGTGGAATAACCTAATTACACACGAGCA